CAGAATTTACTAGATTTTTTCTATGTCATGAAGGTGTGGAAAGGATGTTAATTTGGATCATGGAGAGCAAAGTGGGTCATTTTATCATATTGAAATTATTAATATAGAGAAAAATGTGTACTTGTGGTGATCAGTAACTTTCTGAAAGAAGACATCCACTTTCCAAGTGCAAAGATTTCTTTTAAATCATTTTGTCTCTTATTTTTTTAATTTAAGTTCACTTTTGATAATGAGCTTTGAGCTGATCATTGCACAATTAACTACCTTCTGGGAAAGCATCAGCTCCTAGGTGCCAGCCCTGGGTCAATTTGTGTTGCTGGCACAAATGTAAATATCTGAGGGAGATTGATGGTTTAAAATATCTTAGAAGCTTCAGTGCTCTCAGGATTCAAATGTTCCTGAAGTCACAAATTTTTGTAAAACACACTGTAGAAAAGTTAGATCACATCCTAAGATCAGTTGTTAGGAAATGTTTCTGTGGCATTGCTGTTCTCTGTTAGATTTTTTTTTTGGACCCAGAACTCTGACTTCTGCATTGGAAGGATTTATTTACTGTTAAGGTAGATATCCGTATATATCATTTTTGATTATCACATTCTGGATGACTTGATAGTATTAGAGCAAAAAATCCTGTATATCTATTCTGAAGGACTGTATATCATATACATATATATATATACTTTATCGCGCTAATTTCCCATTTTCAACAGTAAAAAAGTCTGTATAAATCCCTGTTTACCATAATATTTTTCCCTTGCAGTCTCATCCATTGTGTAGTCTGAGAGAACTAAGAAATTAATTGTCCTGTAAAGGGGCAGCTTGTTTTCTGTGCTCATTCGTAGCATGAATAATTGGATTCTTGGGGAAAAAAGGCCACAAATCCCAGTGATTCTGTATAGCCTGCTAATATTAAATGCTGCTCAGGTAATAGTGTTTTGGAATAAGTGGATCAAATTCTCTGCAGAGTCTAATCCAGGCACGTGCTGCCACTGTTCAAAATGTGCATATGTTTGGAGAACAGCTTGTGGCGAATTCTTAGAAGAGGGGTGACTGGATTAGTAAAAGTTTTTAAGGGCGAGTGGGATCATTTACCACCAGTCAAGTGATCTGGGACTTCTTTTAAAAGGTTACATTATTAAATGTTCTGCTTAGATAAAAAGAAAGGTGAAATTTAAGAAAAAATATGAGGTGTTAACAAAGCCCTAATTAAATGCCAAACATGGGAAATGTCTTCCCGAGAAGAAACCTGTGATGCTGGCAGAGACCAAAAAGCCATGCAGCTCTGCACTGTCCCTGGCTGTGACCAGAGGCAGAGAGGGCAGCACCTACAGCAGACAGGGACCTTCTCAGGGCCTCTTCTCAGCTTTCACAACCATGACTTTATGATTTAATCAGCCATGGATCCACCCCTGTGAATTTGTTCAATCCCATTTGGAACCTTTTCATTCTTCTTGCCCTGCAGAAGGTTGCCCCCCTTCTCTTCTCCCAGCTGCAGATAGCGAGTTCATGGAGTACTCCTTTGAGCAGAGGATGTTTGCTGCTCCTGACTGCCATTCTGTCCTTCACTGAATCGTTGCGTGTTCAGTGCTATGACTTTTGAGATGAGGATACTGAAACTGTCAGTAGTTCTCAGACTTTAGGTGCACAGTAATAACTAGAACCGTTTTGTTTCATTTGCTATGTTTTTTCTAACTCTTAAAATTCGATTTACTGTTCTACTGAGTTTATGTTTTTAGAGAAGTAGGCACACTTATTTCAAGATTTCTTGAGTGGTAATAATTAATTTAAGGCTCATCTCTGCTTAAGCTGAGGCAGGGCTATTTTTTCCCCATGTGCATCATCTCGCATGTCTTTTCATGAGATCTTTGCCACTTCACTCAACCCCGTCAGCACTGACAGTTTTACAGCTCTTGCATGCCTGTTTTAGATGTGACCGTTCTGAATGACAGAAATTTTCCACTATGGAAATTCAGTTCATTTCTACTTTTGCTCCTTAGCTTCCACCCCATAAGAGTCGCTCCTTCTTATCCCTTCACAGTAGGTACTTCACCACCAAAGGCTCTTGAAAATTAGAAGTTTCTAACATATTCTAACATGTTCATATTTTCATGAACAAGCTGCCCATCAGATAACCTTCACCCTTTAGAATCACTCATGCTTGTAAATAAATCCTCCCCTCCCAAGCCAGCAGCAGGGACCATGGTGGCCAGGATATGGTGGCTTAGAAGGAGACTCAGGCAGAGCTCCACTGGGGAGAGCAAGCACAGACCACAAACTCCTCGGGATACTAATGGGAGAGAAGGAACCAGGAGATAAACTTCTCATCTAGGAATCTAGAAATGCCCAGAAACAAGATTCTGCTGAATGGCTGTGAGTTTCATCAGGAATTCATTGGATTTTCAAAAAAAAACCCTATGATACAGCATGCCTGATATAGCAGAATCTGATAGAAATTCAGGTTCCTTCTGCAAAAGCTTTCCACACCCCACTCCGCAGCAAGATCATATGACAACACATTGCACCACTGCAGCCTCAGAAGAAGAGCTTTAAATCCTCAGAATCCAAAGAGCATTAGAAAAGGGACCTTGACAGACACAAGCTTTGATCTGAAGGTCACCTGCTGTTGATCCTTTCATAGCACGGCAGGACAAGAGGACTGCAGCGGTACCAAAACATTTAGAGTAGATACCTTTATCAGGAAGGTAAAGGCCATTAGGCTTAAGAGGAAGAAAAAAAGGAATACAAAGTTTCTCCGCTTTCTCCTTCCTTTCCCATTTCTTAATATTTGGAGCAGAATCGGACTCTCGTGGCTCTCCCACCTCCAGCCTTGATTTTAGCAGACATCTCAAGCAGGCAAACATCTGATCTATTCACTTGTCAGGTACAAGATGTCCAACAAAAATTGTTCTGGCAAATTAATAGGATTTCCCAGCCAACCCCTTCACTACTGAAATGATGTCTCTACTTAATTATTTAGGCTAGCAAAAACATCTTCTTTAGGGTTAGCAATGGCAAGCATGGTTATTTTAGCTATGGTGTCTCAGCCATAATACTTCCCCTACTTTCTTCCTACTGAATTTCTTGCTTTTTCCTATAACGCAGTCTCATTTTCAGATCTGCACTGATGTGTAGTACAGACATGGTAATTTCAGACAGAGCTTTTATTACATATACCAGAAACAGGCACATTTTACTCTTAGCTTAAATGATTCTTGGTGATACTTTAAGAAATTGACTGGATGCAAAAAGCTCTGTGTGAAGATAAATGGTTTCAGTGTCAAGTTTATCTTTTACTTGTTTATTTACTGATATGCATGCGTGGCAGGTATACATCTGCATCACAGGCAAAATAAACACAAGTTTTGAACAAAGTCTGGCTGTTCATATTTAGAATACTTTAAATCACAGAAAGGTTTAGACATTGTGACAGAAATTAGGTGCTTGTTTCCTAGGCAGCAAGGCATTTTTGAAGTACACTAGTTGTGTCCATATTACTAAAGCCCTAATTTCATTTATATTCTTCCCTGAACTATAGTGGTACGGAAGCATGCAGTTTTATTATGGCTTGAACTTCAGAGTACTCAGTTATATTTTCAGTTCTCAGAAGGATAATTTTTATCACTGTAAACAATACTTGTGTCCAAGCTAGAAACAAAAGTCACTTTGAGCTATGTATATTGAAACTTTGCGTGAGATGTGCAATCTGTGTTTGTTACCGTCACCTTAAGGGGATGTTTATCAGAGGGATGAGGAATATGTTCTGCAGTGATGGAGCATTCTGAACACATCTCCTGTTAGAGCTTTGTTTCATATGAGCATTAGATAGCCTAGATTTAAAAAAAAAAAAAAAGAAAGTTTGATTGGTCTTTTCTTTCACCTTTCCCAAGTTCTTTTTAGATATTAGAATTTTAAGGGTTTGTTGTTGGGTTTATTTTATATAAACACAACTGTTTTAAAACACCATTTGCAGGTGGATAGTGAAGCCAAGCAACTTTGTGCTACGATTGCCAAGACTGAAGTGTGGGATTGGTGAGGGGTACTCAGACACCATTAGATATTAATAACTTACATAGTCAAATATAAAAATTATATGATAAAAATATTTATGAGTAGTAGAGAGGAAGAAAAATAGCATGTTCTTTCAGGAACCTGGTTAGAGAGAAAAGTCAGCTGCCGTATATGCATTTAGTAAAAACAGAATTGGGAAGAAACACTGGGAGAAAGATCAAGAGTAATATTTAGAAAATTCAGTGGAAAATGAGGGAAAAGGCAGAACAAAAGAATAGATGGAGTACACAAAAAGGTGGAGAACCACAGGGAAGAGCAAATGCAGAAGCAAAGTTGATCTGTAATCTTATGAGAATGGGAGGTTGGGGTGTCTGTTTCATGTAGTAAATGTGTCTATGCATTCATAATTAACTGTAAATTCATGCTAGCATGTATCTAATTAGAAAGCTGCACAACTCAATAAATCATCAGTATGATTTCTATTTCAATTAATATGTTTGAATGGAGGAGAACAATTTAGTGAGCTCTGGGCATTTTTAGTAATAACATCTATTTGTATATAAAATAAGTCATGTTTGTAGTGCCTCTGTTGCAACATATGAATAAAGAAATTCTGTAAACTAGGAGGTGGGAGGCAATTTATGACTACTACTTATTTTGTAAATTTATCCCCTTCACTGTTTTAATGCCTTATTCTCTTGATTTCTTTATTATCTTGTTACGTGCCAGATTTGCAAACTAGCTAAACTGATTTTGGGCGTCGTATGTGTACGCTGTGTGTATATGCACATCCGGATTCTGAATTTTTAGTGAAATCTGTACTGTGTTAATAAAAATTACATTGTATAAGAATTTATATTCTTACGTGTTTAAACACAAGCTACTTTTTAATCCATATAGAACTTTCTTCCAAATGAACTCATTTTCTTTTGCTTGTGAACATCACCACTTGATTCAGCATCTGTTAACTGTGACTCTTGTTCCTTTTCTAGCTGTACCCCATAAAATAGGGCGAATAATTGATGGAAGTCCTGCGGATCGCTGTGCAAAACTTAAAGTTGGAGACCGGATCTTAGCTGTGAATGGCCAGTCTATTATTAACATGCCTCATGCAGATATTGTGAAGCTAATTAAAGATGCAGGTCTCAGTGTAACCCTTCGCATCATTCCTCAGGAGGGTAAGTCAATGGCCCTTAAAAACAGGAAGAAAATTTTAAGTAGCCTCCAATTAGCTTGAGTTATGTCACTGCTTGAAAGAACATCTTTTGTTTCGGTTTCTCAGCTGTAATGTACAGCACACCAAAATTACAGCCTTAGAACCAGCTTGAATAATATCAGAATTCTTGAAAAGGTTTCTAGTTATGAAAAGGGTATTTAAAGCAAACCTGGAGAAGTCTGAGAGAGAGCCGAGTACCGGAGAGTCAGTGTTAATGTCTTTTGGAAGAATTGTCTTCTGCATGGAAAAGAACCCTACAACAGTCATGTTTTGAGTTTGTTCCCTTATGTCCTGCTATAAATCAAACCAAAGTTTGGCACAGTGACTCACAAGAGACTGCAGTGGCTGTCACCAGGCATGTTCAGCTACTAGCTACCCGTGACAAAAAAGCGATGTGGAGGAAGAGCTCAGATTTGATAGTTTACTCCATGTATATCACTATAAATACACAAGGCAAAAAATAACTGAACCCTAAATTATCTCATTTGTAGGGTGAGGATAAGGGGACAGACTCATTATTCTGGTCATTACTCCACAGCTAATCAGTGAAGATCTTTTGATGTTGGTTTCATGGGTTTTGGGGTTACATCAGGGCTTTTTTTTAGTTTAGTGATGTGCTGCATTGGTGTATGAATTGTACTGCATTAATGAGGCTGTGGCTTTATATTTCAGCAACAAATAACATTAGAGCTAGGAATGTTACACAGCAAGTAATGTCGTTACTTAATGATCCATGCTCCAGTTAGACGACCTTCACCTTCTGCTGCTGCATCCAGCAATGAGACAAGGAAAGAGTCTGACACTGGCCATGGACTGCAGCAGGGTGAACTTACCTACTTTGTTAAATGAAATTAGTGAGGGTAAAAACACAAATATACACAGGTTCAGAATTTACACCAAGGAACTGATGTATAATCACTGGAGGTCAGTTTTGCAAGCATGTACAAACAACTGTGATGCTTCATGCAGTCTGTGCAGCTTCTTTAAGCCTCCCTGCTACCCAGATTAATTCATATTAGCAGATTGCTAATAGTGCAGTGTTAGACATGAATACCTTAAATTAGAAAGAAAGCAGAGGTGCATCTGAGATGCAGTGCTACAAGATATTCTTGGGTGCTAGTGGTGAGAAATTATTTCTGACCAAGGCATGGCTTCCCTGTGTGTCTGTATGACCCCGGACACCCCATTTGCCTTTCAATATTAGCTTCTCATCTTATAAAATTAGGAAAAAATCTACTACCCCTGTAATGCACTTTCAGGTGAAAAATACCATATAAATGCAAAGCAGTTTTAGCAGCAGCTTATGATTTGACTAGTTCATCCATAGTTATGAGAGTAATGTAGAAACGAGGGACAATATTCCCAATCTTCGTCTTTGAAACTTTTCAATACAAAAGATACTCTCAGACGCAAAATGAGCAATTAAAGTCTTAAGCACAGTAATTACACAGACAAGTATTCCTTATGCCTGCATGAGGAGAGTTTTAAGTGCAAATATACGAAAGTTTTTAACATTTAAGCCTAAATTGAAAAGATTTTTAATAAAGTAACCAAAATTTTTAAAATAATTATGAACATAAATAAGAAGAGAGCCATTAGAAATGTGTAGTCATAGGGGGCAAACACATGTTAAAAAATAAAAAATTCAATCATTCAAAATTCAAACTAGATCCAGATACAAAAGTAAGCAAGATCTGGATCATGCACACCTATTTCTGTTAGGGATGCTCAGCCATAGGCATGTCCATTCTGGATGCTTTGCACCACACCACATTAGCCTCACTCATGCTGTTGCAAGCAGGAATAAAAAAAATCTAATGCACACATTTGCCACTGATTATGCATGAGCAATTACTTCTGCAGTACTCTATCCTCTTATGGGTGGAGTCTCTCTCATATACACTTCTTAACAGGTAAATGATGAGCACTATAACTGTGCCAGTGTGTCAGGAGAAATATATTAAACATGAGCTAAGTGTCAAATGTGTCTTGGCCCAAGTGCAGTGGAAAGCCTGAAGGATCCTTTACTTGTAACAAGGCCACGAGGCCACATTTCCTACCCCAGCATATCTGTCTTTTTGAATTTTATGTTGTCTAGAAAGAAGGATTCTGGTTTTCTGCAGTGTTCCTATGGGAAACCCTGGTCATTGGCACAGTACAGTGAAATAAAACAGAGGTTCAACTGGTTAGTCAGAAATTATTGAGACTGGTTTTGCTGTTCGTAGTCCCCAAAGATTTTTAAAAAGTAAGAAACTGGTGTTGAGCTCAAAGACAGCATGAGCTAACACAAGCACACCAGTGCTTTAGCTTTTGTGACAACAGTCTGTCATCCCATAACAGTGGCAAAGGCAATAAAATCATTAATTCTCTCAAAATGAAAAGGTTTTTTCAAAATGAAAAGTATTTCAAGTATGTAGAAGCTGAGCTAAGACCCATGGAGTACAGGGAGGTGATTGAAGGCAGCCAGCATGGCTTCACCAAGGGCACGTCCTGCCTGACCAACCTAGTGGCCATCTATGTTGGAGTGACTAGGATCAGTGGACAAGGGAAGAGCTATGGATGTCATCTGTCTGGACTTCTGTAAGCCCTTTGGCATGGTCCCCACAACATCCCTCTCCCTAAATTAGAGAGATAGGGTGGGCTGTTTGGTGGATGAGGAATTGATTGGATGGTTTCATCCAGAGGGTAATGGTCAACAGCTTAATGTCCAGACCAGTAACAAGTGGTGTCCCTCTGGGGTCTGTGCTGGGAGCCAGTACTGTTTAATATCTTCATCAGTGACAGTGGGATTGAGGGCACCCTCAGCAGTTTTGCAGACCACACCAAACTGAGTGGTGAAGTTGACGTGCCTGAGGGTCAGGATGCCATCCAGAGAGACCTGGACAAGCCCAAGTAGTGGTCCCGTGTGAATATCATGAGGTTCAACAAGGTCAAGTGCAAGGTCCTGCACATGGGTCAGGGTATGCTCCAGAATCAATGCAGGCTGGACACTGAAGGGATTAAGAGCAGCCCTGCCAAGAAGGACTTGGAGGTACTGGTGCATGAAAAGCTGGACATGAGCCAGCAGTGTACATTGGCAGCCCAGAAGGACAACCGTATCCTGGGCTGTATCCGGAGAAGTGTGGCCAGGAGGTCAAGGAAGGTGATTCTCCCCCTCTACTCTGCTCTTGTGAGACCCCACCTGCAGTACTGTGTCCAGCTCTGGGGCCCCCAAAATCAGAAGGATATCGACCGATTGGAGCGAGCCCAGAGGAGGCCACAAAGATGATCAGAGGGCTGGAGCAGCTCTCCTATGATGAAAGGCTGAGAGAGTTGGGCTTGTTCAGCCTGGAGAAGAGAAGGCTCTGGGGAGACTTTATTGCAGTCTTTCAATAGTTAAAGGGGCTTATAAGAAAGATGAGGACAGAGTTTTTAGCAGGCCCTGTTGAGATAGGACAAGGGGTAATGGTTTTAAACTAAAAGAATATAAATTTAGACTAGATATAAGGAATACATGTTTTACAATGAGGGTGGTGAAACACTGGAACATGTTGCCCAGAGAGGTGGTAGATGCTCCATCCATGGAAACATTCAAGGCCTGGTTGGATGGTGTTCTGACAAACCTAGTCTAGTGGAAGACCCTGTTCATTGCAGGGGGTTTGGACTAGATGACCTTTAAAGAACCTTTCCAACCCAAACCATTCTATGATCAGTATTTTCAGGCTTTAAAAGAAAACAAAACAGAGCCATTTGCATTGTTCTCTTGGGTTTTAAATAATGGAGGTATCAACCAGAGTTACAGAAGTGACTGTGATTTCAGATCCCACTGACTATGAAAAGGATCCCATTATGTTCAGATGTCTTAAAATCTAATTATAACCCAAGAGAATAAAGCAACAAAGCATAAATTTGCAGAGGTAGTGTGTGACCAAAAATGATTGTTGTCTACCTTTGACCTTTATTAAATGCTACACTGTGACAGGTTTTTAATCTCCAGTTTCTCATTACACAGAGCTGAACAGCCCAGCCTCGGCCCCCAGCTCAGAGAAGCAGAGCCCCATGGCCCAGCAGCACAGCCCCATGGCCCAGCAGAGTCCCCTGGCACAGCAAAGCCCCGTTGCCCAGCACAGCCCCGTCGCCCAGCCACCGCCTCCGCAGCCCCTCCAACTGCAGGGACATGAAAACAGGTAAGAGTGGCTCCTCCCG